AAAAAAAAAAAAAAAAAACCATATATTCGTTTATGACAATTCTAAAATTTCATTCATTTATGAATTACATCAATAAATAGTTAAGCCCCAGCTATGTGTCAGGCATTGTTGTAGGCCATGGGGAAAGTTGCAAACAAATCAAAATCTCTGTCTTCATGGAGTTTATGTGGGCAGGGATGGAACAGAAAACAAACTAATAATGTCAGGTGGCAATAAGTGCTGTAGAGAAAGAGCAGTGAGTAAGAACGATAGAGCGAAGGGACAGAGTACTATTTTATGGGTGGTCAGAGAAAGTCTTGCTGATATGTGTGTAAAGACCTAAAGGAAATCAGAAGGCAAACCACACAGATTTCTGAGGAAAGAGCACAGGCTCTAAGGTAGGAGCATGCCAGGTATTATCAAGAAACATCAAGGGTAATATAGCTGGAAAAAAATAATGGAGGAAAGTTTTAGGACATGAAGTTAAAGAAGTAAGGGAGAGAAGACAGATCATGTACAGTCTTAAAGGTAAGATGATCACAGGCACTTACCTTTCATGCTCAAAAGTGTCCTGGTTTGGACCATAAATTTTATGGTCACCATATATACAGGTGATTATAAAAACTTTTTAATCTAAGTGAGATGGGGAGCCATTGGAGGTTTCTGAGTAGAGAAATTCTAAAAGGATCATCCTAACTATTTTATGGAGAAGAAACTGTAGAGGGACAAGGGGCAAGGGTAGCAGTAGAGATATCGGTGAGTAGACTACTGATTGTGGTAACACAGGTGAAGGATTAGGTAGGTGGTTTGGACCAATACTTGGTTCAAGTGTTGAGAAGTGGTCAGACTCTAAAGTCAGAGAGGACAAGACTTGCTGATGTACTGGGTGTGGATGGGAAGAAAGAGGAGCCAGGAATTACTCCAAAATTTTTGGCCTGAACAACAGCAAGAATGGAGATACTATTTAGTGACATAGCAAAGAAGGTTTGGTGGGAGTGGAATCAGGAGTTTGGTTCTGGACTTGGTATGTTGAAATGCCCATTAGATATTGAAATGTAGGCATGTGGATAGAGTCTGGAGTTCATGAGAGAGGTCTGTGCTAGAGATATAAATATGGGAATCATCATCATATAAAGGGTGTAGACTATAACTATATACTTATTCTACAGCAATAAAACAAATGTTTCTCTCTTCATAAACCAAGTCCTAAAATAGTAAAAGGAACACAATATAATTTGAGGAATTTCTACCAATCTCCTATGGAAAAGCAAATTACACAACCACTGATAGCAGCAGTTTTTAACGTTTTTTCCCACAACTCTACATAGGACAGGTGACCTTCACATACATCAAAATGTCTCATGGATATTCTTGGATTTTGATGACATCCAACAATAAATGGTACAGAGAAGTATATAACTACAATAATCTCTATTCATAATGGCTATTTAAATTTCATATTAGACAAGGGTAGGCTTCTTTACCTCTTTCTGTCCCATTCAATAAAGTACATCAAAACTGAGAATGCTGTTTTACAGGAGTTAAGTGGAGCCTATTCTAATTCTTTCAGTCATCTGCAAACAAATATTTTAACAGTCTCTAGTAACAAATAACTCTTGACACTTTACTGCCTAGTATCTGATGAAATACTAATACTATCTGAAATACTAATTACTATCTGAAATACTAACGTATTTCAATTGATAACCCTGACCTAAAGTCTTGCAATAGATAAAAGATAAAAACTAATTCTGATTTACTTTTTCTGAACCTGGGTTAGAAGATGTAAAAACAGAGCTCCAAAATTTTATAGTACCCTTTTTTCACATACTGAAAATCGTTAGTGTATTCTGATCCTATTCTGAAGGGATTAACACCTTAATCATGCCTCAAGGCATTTCATGGGTAACTAGGTGATTTATAAACTCCTTTCATACTCTAAGAAATAACAGCAGGCTAATTACAAAAAATATTTTACTTACAGTAAATTCGCGAAGATCTCAAACACTCTCAGACTTTTCAGAAAAAAATACTTGGAAATCCAAAATTTTGGATTATTTTACACACAATGTAGCTCGTGCGTTCAAATTTAGAAGCAATTACAGCCTACATTTAGCAAAACGTATTCTCAAGAAGCTGTAAAACAGATTTCTCGTCTTTGGGATTTTTTTTTAAAGCTCGAATATTATGTATTCCTAAACCCTGAACTCTACAATCTTGGGCTTTGAACTAAAAAGCTTCCAGCCAAGAAATCAAAGAGTTCTGTCGGGAACTTGGACAAAAATGTCAGACAATTTTCAGTGAAAGTCTAACAACACGCAAAATTCACAAGTCTCGGTTGCTTTATCGCCAGAAAGACCCCAAATACAAAGCGTCTCCTCTCCCTCTGCTCAACCGCAAGAGTTAAAAAATTCTAGACTAAGCAGCCCAGCAGAGAAAAACAGCAGCCTCTTGGGGAGAGGGAAGCGCAAACCTCTCTTAGCCGGTTGGGCGGGAAGGGGGGAACAGGCATGGGTTTCGCGGCACTTACAGGTCCGTCAACACCATGAGCTCCGAGTAGGCCCGGTGCAGCAGAAATTCAATGAGGGTGCTCAGCCGGTAGCCAGGGCTAGCCGCAGCGGCAGCTGCCGCCGCCACGGCGGCTCCCGGGGGAGGAGGAGCTGGGGCTGACGCGGGGCCGCCGCTGCCCCCGCCGCCGCCTCCAGGCGGGACCAGCTGGTGGTTCTCCAGCTGCACTGGGGCCATGGTGGTGTAGGGCCGGGCTTGGCGCAGCGGCACAAGATGTGGCTCTCAAGCCTCCTGGGCGCTCGGTCACCGCGCCAAATGGGGCGCGGGCAGAGGCGCCACCGCCTATCGCCGGACCGCCTCTGAACAGGAAGCCGTGCGCTGACCGCGGAAGCCCGCCTCCATGTAGCGATGAGCCCGCCGGCCCCAGTGACGGGAGAGAGGGGCGGGGACGCAGGGCGGCAGCCGCAGAGAAGCTGCGCCTCCGCGACTGCTCAGAAGCCGTTTCGCCAGGCAGCCGCAACGTCCATGTTGACGGCGCAAAGCGGAAGTCCTTTGGCAGAGCGGAAGGGGAACCTGCAGGGGACCTTCCGACAGAGCCTGCGTCTTTTCTCCCCGCTGTCTCGCTTAGCGACGCTTGGGGGCGCGTGGGAGTGGGGCGGAGCCGGCGCGCGCGGGAAAGCGGAAAAGGGGGGGGGGCCGCTCGCCGCCGGAAGCCGGGGTGGGGGCGGAGCCGGTCTCGTCACTGCGAACGTCAGCAGGTGCCCCGCCCTTACCGTCGCCGCTCACCCTCTCCCTTCCTGCCTCCCCCCCGCCGCCACCCCCCCTCCGCCCCCGGCGTTTTAAAAGCGACAATTTGCCCTGAGGAATCGATCTTCGCTCTCTAAGTGAGGCACTAATACGGCCAGGAAGGCCTTCTCTAGATGTTTGTGAGTTCTGGTTCTGGCGTCGCGAAGAAATGCAGTGGCAGTCCTCTCGTGATTTCTCAGGCCTTTGCTCCTCCCACAGACGTCCGAGGCGCATTTCGTGGGAGAGAGGACGTGTGCGTCGTTTTTTTTTTTTTTTTAAACTGTGGGAAAAGGTGCAAGAAAATATGTTTGGGGGTAGGGACAGGGCTGCTGGCAGAATAACTTAACTTTAAAAGAGCTAGGTATATGCTGAGCTTGTGACAGTCCCCCAAATCCCATCAGTTCAACGGAGAAACAGCCCTTAAATCCTTTGCTGCTGGCTCTCATTCGGTTTTTGTCCCTGCTCTTGTGGTAGCCGCCCTGCCCTTAAGGACTCTCAGTTAGTGTTGTATGCCGCCACTTTTCCCTCTCAAAATCCGAGTTTAATTTTTTGCGCCCGCTTTAAAACCGATTCTGAACCTCGGCTGCATTTTGGAATCATCTGAGGGGCTTTAAAAAAATACTTAGGTTTATGGGTTTCACCCCCATATATTCAGATTTAATTGATATGGTGGGACGTCTGGGCTTCGGGATTTTTTAGTTTTCCGGGCGATTTTAATGTGCAGCTAACAGATACACTGTTAAAAGCGTAAGTTGCTGCGACCCTTTCCAAACATCTTTTTTTGCAGCTTCATCTCCAACTCTTAGATGTAAGAGACGCTCGTCCTGTTCCCTAAGATTAAAATACTCACACTGTCCTCCACTTGTGTAATCCTTTGTCATTCTTGAAAGCCATTCACCTGTGTTCTGAAGGTGTAATCTCTGGGGTGTAAATCACTTGTTCCCTCCCTTTGTGGTCCTAAAGCATATTTACACGGAATATCATTATGGTACTTATTAAAATGCATTAGGAAAGGCTAGGCGCGGTGGCTCACGCCTATAATCCGAGCACTCTGGGAGGCCCAGGCCAGAGGATCGCTTGAGGCCAGAAGTTCCAGACTAGCCTCAGCAACAAAAGCAAGGCCCTGTCTCTACTGAAAAAAAAAAAAGGAAAGGAAAGGAAAAAAAAAGTAGCCAGGCGTGGTGGTGTGCACCTGTAGTTTCAGCTACGGGGGAGGCTGAGGTGAGAGGATCCCTTGAGCTAAGTTGAGGAATTTGAGGTTGCAGTGAGCTATGATAATGCCACTGTACCCTAAACCCTGGGCAACAGAGCAAGACCCTGTCTCAATAAATAAATAAATAAACAATGTATTAAGATTATTTATACTCCCTACCGGTGCAGTTGTTGGAAGACAGAGACTATCATTCATCCCTATGCAATTTTTAATTGACAAATTATAGTATATATTTATAGGGTACAATGTGATGTTTGGATATATGTATATATTGTGGAATGAACAAATCAGGCTAATTAACATATCCATCAACTGACAAACTTAATTCTTTGTGGTGAGACCATTTAAAATCCACTCTTGTAGCAATTTTGAAATATACAAAACATTTTTATTAACTATAGTCACCTTTCTGGGCAATAGAACACCAGAATTTATTCAAAAGCTGTCTAGCTAAAACTTTGTACCTGTTGACCAACATTTCCCCTTTCCCCACCCACTGCCCACCCTCAACCTCTGGTAACCACCATTCTACTCTCTATTTCTTCTGTGAGTTCAACTTTTTTAGATTCCACATATATGTGAGATCATGTGGTATTTGTCTTTCTGTACATGGCTTATTTCACTTAGCATAATGTCTTCTAGATTCACTCATGTTGTCAAAATGAAAGAATTTTGTTCTTTAGGCTAAATAGTATTCCGTTGTGTATATATACTGCATTTTAAAAATCCATTTATCCATTGATGGACACTTAGGTTGATTCCATGTCTTGGCTATTGTGAATGATGCTGCAATGAACATGGAAGTACAGACATCTCTTCAACATACTGACTTCAATTCCTTTGGATATATACTCAGAAGTGAGATTCCTGCATCACATGGTAATTCTGTTTTTAGTTTTTTTTAAGTCATACATTCATCCCAAATATTTTTAGTTTTTTAAGGAACTTCCACACTGTTTTCCAAAATCACTGTACTAATTTACATTCCCACCAATAGTGTACAAGGGTTCCCGTTTCTCTATATCTTCACCAACACTTGTTATCTTTCATCTTTTTGAGAATAGAATGGGACCATTTCTTTTGCAGTTGTTTTTACTTGTTTTATTGAATTTTTTTTCCCTCTATCTTTTGAAAGCAATATTGACTTCAGTTAAGAAACCCTGGTTGTCATGAAGACACAAAAGATAAGTGGTTGTACAAGATGGTCCTTAAGGTCTTTTCCAACACTGAGATTCTAATTCTATGTGATGTTGATAGGATTTTAATTCTGCCTTATTGCATATATTAAACACAGTTAAACACCATGCCTTTTGATATTCATTCTATTTGGCAGTAAGTAAGGTTTTACCTAGAGAGAGTACAGCCAACTTGCAAGTAAAAGAAAAAATTTACAGGTGGGGTGTTGTTTTAGAAAAGAGAAATTTTCACCCACATCAATCAGATTAGAGTTTACTGAAATTTCTGTGAGTTTGAATACATATCCTTAAAAATGGAAAAGTGCTAGTTATCAAAAAGAATGTTCTAAATAAAAATAGGGTGAAAATACAGCACTATAACTGAGACTTGCTCTGCTTGCATTATTGGGGATCAGGGAGATACGGTAAAGTGGGGTGATTTCCCATCTCCCAACCAGATAATATAGCCACTTGGCAAACATAGGAAGGACTAGTAGAAGAAATGAATGAAGAAGGAAAGAAAATGTTAGCATGTTTGGCTGAGTTACTAAAGGAATGACCACATTCAAACCACTACTTTTGGAAACAATTTATAATTTATCATTTTAAAGCCTACAGTACAATACTTGACACTGTAGTGTAGGTACATACTTCTTTCTCTCACTTTTTTCAGTTGTTCCTCTTTTTGTGATCACCTGATTCTATCACACCTCAGATAGTTTCAGAACTAGCAGCATGACATTTTCTCAGCTCTTAAATTGACTTAAATGCTTTTGATCTTTCATGAAGTCAATCTGATTTTAACAAAAGGAACAACAAATTGATTGCAAAACATGGAGAAAAAAGGGCATTTTGTTTAAAGCCCCTTTGATAGAAAAATGAAATTGTGATACATATGTTTTCATTTTATGTACAGCTGCCCCTCAGACACAAAAGGGTGAGAAAGGAAATGAAAAGTAATTTTTTCTTTCTTTTTATAAGATATTGCAATCAGTTCTTCCAAAATGGAGAGCAAAAGCAGTAACTGCATTCATTCAACAGATGCTACATTCACAATGAAGTTGAGGGAAGGAACTCACAATACCATGGGCATGGTCTGACCAACCTAGAAAACATGACAACACTATAATGGCTTTGCATTTAGAATAAAACCCAAACTTCTTACTGTGGCCTCCAAAGCTATTGACAGAGTAGCCCTTGCCTGCTTCTCCATCTACCCCTATCTCCTGCCACTTTTTCCCTTACTGTAATGTCACTGGGTTTAGTACATACCATTCCCTCTCATTGCAGATATGTTGTGGTATGTTGCAGACACTTGAAATACTTGTTTCCTGGCTCTTCACATGCTGGCTTCTTTATCCTTCACGTATCAGCTTAAATGAGAAAATCCTCACAGAGGCCTTCCTGACTATTATATTAAACACATACAAGGAAGTTCATTGCAGCATTGTTTGTAGCAGCAAGAAAGCATGAACAGTCTTAACTGTACCTCAGTAGGAGAATGGAGAAGTAAATTACTCTATTTCTATATAACTATTCAGATGAATTAGAGCTGCATGTACTAACATGGATACATCTCAAAAACAATACTGAATGAAAAAACAATCTTTTTGATATCACTTCTGTCCATTTTAAAAGCACACAAAATAATACTCTGTAATATATTGTAAAAGTAAAAAACGTAAGCGAGGATGATATACGTCACTTTCAGCATGCCAGTTACTTCTAGGGAGGGGTAAGGAATGAGGTGATGCTTTATTGGTTTCTAGCTATTAGTTATATCTAATGGATTTCTTAAAAACATGAAGGAAATGTGACAATATTGTTAAAGTTGGGGATAGAGATATGATTGGTAATATATTCTTTTTAATATTCCATTATATTTAGAAAGTGGGCCAGCCAAACCGAGTTGCCAATGCTGTAAATGTGAGCCCGGGCCCTGGGTATATATTTTCATAGCATAATGAAGTGTGAATATCATCTCGTAGGTTGGGATTGCAATGGTTTCTCCAGTCTTTGCTGTTTCCCTGATGACCAGTTTCTAGATTTTACGGACAGTTAGTAAAGTCCCAGAAAACAGAGACAGTGATCTGATACAGTGATGCATGAGATGCCCTTCTTAGATAACCTATATCGTTTTTTAGACACTGAAACTTCTTGTGTCTATAGTTTTTCCTACATGGAACATGACATTTGGTTGTGGTAGCTGGTTCACTTAAAAGTGTGTTAACTGAGTGCCAGGTGCAGAAGAACCACTCAGCAAAGGTTAGTTGTTGTGATGGTTGTTGCTATTGCTATTTTTTCCTAAAGAGCTTTTTATGTTTGTCATATGCATAAAATAGAGGATTTACTCTACTGTTAATTCTCACTTTTACTATCAATACGTATTTTGATTTTACTATTGCATTTTGTATTTCTTTGCCTTTATTTCTCATTTCAGCCAGCAACATCCTTTCCATTGCTGACTTCATGATAGACTGGTCTTTGCTTCAGTGGTCATTTACCTTTCTGATTATTAGAAATGGTGGCCATAGTTTTATAA